TACGTACGTACGGTACCGGTACCGGTACGGTACCGGTACGTACGGTACGGTACGTACGTAGTACGTAGTACGTACGTACGTGTGTGTGTGTGTGTGTGTGTGTGTGTGTGTGTGTGTGTGTGTGTGTGTGTGTGTGTGTGTGTGTGTGTGTGTGTGTTTCCCCAGGAGAAATTGTGTCATATTGAACAGTCTATCTAATGTTAACCTCTCCATGGCGGCCACTTTTTGCTATTCTCATGGTAATATTTGTTGGGCTCCACCCACCACAGATGTGTGTATGTGTGTGTGTTCTACTGTAAAAAGTGAGGTACATCCTGGCTGTGTTAATCGTGTTTCCATCCACTTTGTAATTCAAGAATTAACAAACCTAGAGGGAAATATTGGAAATGTGTGAAATGAGACTAAAGGTTTTAGACAGCAAGTACTTTGAATTGCAGCTAATAGCATTAATATTGTCAGAGACAGCGTAAAACTTAAGTTTGATGCTGCTCTGAAAAGGTTTCTCTGGTTTTATCTCTTCTATGCTAGTTTATGTCTATAACATGTCTGAAAATTGTGAAAATGATCCATCTAGCTCCTCAAAATCCAAGATGAGGTCTTTAATCGTTTGAGAATCGAAAACACAAAGATATTAAGTTAAACATAATTTAAACAACAAAACGTTGGAAGTTTCATATTTGAGAGACTGAAATGTACATTATTGCCATTTCTGAATGAAAATTCAACTGATTGAAAACAATTAATAGATTATAAAAAATGTGCACTAATCTTGCAGCTCTAGTAGGAATACATCTTAAGAGTCTACAGTCTTCTGATGAAGGGAAGATGTGACATACAGATAAAACACTGTCAATCGAAAACATAAAAATAAAACGCTGAAGCCTAAAATAACTTCTTCCACTTTGATACTCTTTCAGATTACAATACAGACTTTGATGTACGCAGAGCCTCAAATATAACACAGCCTGTATCTGTGTCATTGTGTATGTAAGTGTGTCATTGTTTTGTCTGGACCTTTAGATGCTCATGTGTGACTTTGCAAACGTCTCTGCGTTCTGCATGCATAAGTGTGTGTGGGTCTCTACACACTGTGCATCTGTGTGTGTGTGCCAAGAAGGAGCTAATACAGTCCCAGCTCTCAGCCAGGATTAGAAGCTTCCAGCAGGTTTCTGGAGGGTTTTATGTCTAAAACCCAAACTAGAGGGAATCCACAACAGCCAATTACACTGCCTCTAGGGCAAACGTGTGTCTGTGTGTGCGTGTGTGTGTGTTGTTCATCAGAAACGTAGTGCAGGCACACACACAATCACACAGAGTGTTTATGTTAAAGTGGAGCTGGCATCTGGTGCCACTCAATTAGCTGCGACCAGTCTGCCAATAGCCAGAATCCATTTAACTGCCAGCAAAGGGGCATGAGTAAGCGCGCACACACACGCACAATACACACGCGCATACACGCATTCTACCTTGAGGACCAAACACAAATCAGAGACGATGTGACTTCCCTGGCCTTTGTCCATAAGGAGATTAGTTTGCTTTCATTTTGAAACACACAACCCATCATCCTTTTTTCTACCTTTGTTTTACACAGAGGTCAAACTGCATTGTGTTGCAGTGAAAAAAGAGATTGACAGAAGATCAATAAGTAAAATGTTCCTCCACTGGCAGGACAACATGACTAGCAAGCCAATAATAAGCCCATATCTAAATAACATTTACATGCATTCCTATGGCTACAGGAAAACGGGAATCTATTAGGAACTTCATTTAGATAATAACTTTTCTTATCATTAAATTGACTTCACTAAAAGCTACAGTCTTGAACCTTTATTACTCAGGAGTCCAGATAAGAAATCCCCTTAGATCCTCCTGCACAGCTGCTGCAGGAGGAAATGTGTTTAAGAAAAAATGATCACATCTCTTCTAAATTTCACAAGGGACTCACATGCAGTATTTAGTCTCTAAAAGTCCTGAATCCTGTAGAATCCAATTGTGTACACTTCTCTTTTCTTCTCATGTGTTCTATCTTATCTTATAACGGTTTTAAACGTTTATTTAGAAAATAAAAGGTGAAGACTTCACCTTGGGAAGTGGGGAATTCGGATAGACATTTCTAACTTTTTTTTCTTACAATATTTTAACGACGTAATTGAAAATAAAGGCCTTCTTCACAGTAGACCTTTGGACTAAAGTGCACAGGTGTTACAAATAACATTAATAATCATTAGTGTCCAATTAGCCATCACGGACAAAACCAGGACCCTGAACTGAAGCACCCTTGTTAATTGTATTATTCACACCTGAGCTTTTCCTGCTGTGACAAGTCCGTTTCCTGTGAAAAAGGCCTATGACAAATGTTTTCTACTTCTACTTGAGAACAAAATGCAGGTTTAAAAATGACAGATAAAGGGCACCAATGTCCCACAAATGTAAAGTTCACTACATGTTTCTCACAGTTTTCGTTGATGCCTGTGTGTTTACCTGTCGCAGTGGTTGCACTTGAATGGCTTCGCTCCGGTGTGTTTGCGGTAGTGTCGTGTCAACTCGTCACTGCGGGCAAAACGCCATTCACAGCCCTCCCATGAGCACTTATAGGGCTTCTCACCTGAGAGAGAGAAAGAGAGAAAGGAGAAGGTGTCACATTTTATTATAATTTCTACATCTAATTCCACACGTCTCAACTACAGCTGTTCGCTAATATAAATATAACCACGCCTGGCTTTTTCCAGACACACACACAGCCCAGGGGCCGGGCAGGCAGACCATCTTTAACGCAACAGCCATTTCAATGAGCCAATATACTCAATTAGGTGTAAATGAAGTCTTTCAGCACTGCGGCGTGTTAATTCACAATCCTAAATTCACCCTGAAATGAATCTCGTTTTGTTCACGCTATCAGAACGCCCCCTCCCCTCACACACACACAGCCACACACACACCCTGAGGTGGTGGGATCTGAAATGTAAATGAAGTTTCATCCCCCACTTCACCAGATGGGAGTAGAGATGGTGTATTGTTCTCAGCCTGTAGTTATCTCTCCGTGATAGAAAGCCTTCCAGCTGTGTGTGCGTGTGTGTCTTCTGGCTTGAGGTGTGTGTGTGTGTGTGTGTGTGTGTGTGTGTGTGTGTGTGTGTGTGTGTGTGTGTGTGTGTGTGTGTGTGTGTGTGTGTGTGTGTGTGTGTGTGTGTGTGGGAGCAGACTGTCTTCAGATGGGACGTGATGATGTCTGACTGCCTGTTCAAGAGTGAATTTCTCTCTGAGGTATGTGAGATGAGCAAATAAATCAGGAAAATCATATACTAACCTAAAAAGTAAGACTATATTGTAGAACTGAATTTAAGAATATAAACAGATCTATGAAAACACAACTCATATTATTTATTATAATGCAACACTGTACTGTGGGTTAGTGCTACAAATTCAACACCCTCCAGTTCAGAGTCTTTAACAAATAAATGCATTTTCTGCCACAACCTCGTTTGTGCATATAGCTGGTGTGTTTAATTTGAATTTGGACAAGTTCATTTGTACTAATTTGAATGCGTTGGGTTTGAAAAATGGATAATATTCACTTAAGCCAAAACATTTCTAGTCTTAAGTTGGTAGAGCAGTAGCAACAACCTAATCGTATCCTCTATCTTGACAACAAAACAGTAGGATGAACTTGTTTGCCTACATTACAAAGTAATCTACCAGTAGTGTGCACATATTGGACTGGCCGAAGCCAAGTGTAGCTGGCTGATTTTGCAAAGCTTTTGCTGAAAAGTTGAACCACAGCACACTTTAAATCTGGCCAAACATCACTGCAGACCCCTTGTGTGTGAGTGTGTGAACTGGGGGGTGGTAACCATAATTGGGGTCTAAATGATTCTTAATGGGGAGTGATACAGCAGTTAACAGTCAGTTAGCCAGATGTCCCAGCAGCCCCTCCACTGCCATCACAGCATACACAAATCTTCTTAAGGAGACAAACACAAACACAGAACAGTCGCAAATAAAGTGGAACTAATGTGGAAATGTGGCAATTGTGAAGTATTCCACATTGTGATGGAAACATAATTGGATACAATAAAAAAAAGATGTGTCACAAGTACATCCATTTTTAATCAGGATTGAAAACGAAAATGAAACTCAACCCTGGCACAAAACTCATTTTATTTAAGTACAACCTGGGTCCAGTTCTCTGCATTGCAACCCAAAAAGATTTTCAGAGATTCAACCAGGTCTACTGTTGAACTCACTGAGTATGGCTGTACAACTTATATCATGTATTTATGGATTTATAAAGAGAATTAGATAGAGAGCTGCTCATTCCTATGGAAGTAGCTCAGTGGTGCTAAAATGTCTCGACTACCAAGTGATATATTACCGGGATCTTCCACATCCATGGGGCCTGAAGAGCAAGCACTCTAATGATCTGTATTCACCAAATGTTTGAAATAATCACTTTTAAAATGTTAATACTCGAAAATGGATTTACTTGGACCCAATGCAAGCCCATAGGGAACAGTATTTTACACCCCTATGGCATCATGTGCTTACCAGAATGTTGGAATTACACATTTGGGCCATTTCAAAATCTGGCTTTGAAGCCGAGTGCTGTTCCTTGTAGCTCGACTGAAATGTGTTTCTGTGGTTGGAAGACATTTTTTTCAGCCAATCTGAACTGTTTTGGTAACACCAAAAAGGCATCTTCTTGACACCTGATAGAATATACTTATTTATTTATTTAAATACAACTTTCAATGCAGATTGAGCTTCCAATTTATCTTTTTGTGCTGTTTACCTATATATAATTCCCTCAACCATAGCACGGGAATAACTTCTCCATCCCATACCAACAAGTGTGAGATTGCTTTTCCCTCTTGAATAATCGTGCCAGAATAACCAAAGCTGTAGAAGAACACCTTTACATGGACTTAAATCTGAGCTGAGAGCAGCTCTGACAGCAAGGTGATGCAACGACAGGTAAAAGATGATGTGCTACAGGAACATCCAACTGTGAGTGATGCCCTCTCTCCCTTTATTTCCCATCACCTCCTATGTGTCTTTGATCTGAGCAGTTTTTTAACCACACAGACAACGTGACCGCAAGGTGACGCACTCGTTCTCGGATTGAATTAATTTAGGATCCTGAGCTATGCTCTCCTGGATTTGCATATTCAAATTCTCCATTCAAATCTTGTGCTGTCGGTTGCTGATTTCCCCAACAGGGATCTGGGTTTTGTCGATGTCCCGTCATTGTGATTTTTGGAGACACACTTTCCTCTGCCACCTCAGTCTCGAATGTTTTGGGGTGCAAGACCTATCCAAGCTAGCCTCTGTCACTAGCTTTTCCATGGGTTTTGTCATCAAGTTTTTCCTTTATTGGTCTTTTAATAGCTGAAATGTTCTCTACACAAGTCTGTTTTGGTAGTAAAACTGCACATGTAAAAAATAATAATAAGAGGAACCCGTTGCAGTGGTCTAAACACCAAATAAGACTCACTTTGGAGGATAAGGATGGACTTAGAGGAAAGAGCTTTGGGATCTTACTGGAGTAAGTGTTTATGCAGCCAAACAGTACATGCTGTATTGGCACTATAAGCATGACCAGGACAAGTACATTGAACCTGTTAGGATGGTCTATCAATAGAGTCCAACTAACACTGGGTCTTTAAGTCTAACATCAATACTTGAGAATCATAAATACTCCTATTCTCTCTTTTTTGGCTGAACCAGATCGGGTAAGTCTGAGCTAGCAATGTTGGAAAATGAACCATACTGTTGATACTGTGAGTAACTTAAGTTTAGTCAATATAATTTGAGAGCCACACATTCATACTTTGCTGTTACTCAAACATGTATTTCTACCAGACTGATTGGCCTGCTGATGTTTTCGGTTGGGCTCTAATGGTCTAATGGATTTAATTGGTATTTCTCTACTTCTGTTATTTCTAATTCACCTCAATAAAGGCCTTTAAAAGACATGAATTAAGACAAGAGCCACTTCGACTGCCACACTTTTCCCCCCGGTACATTTAAAGTAAAAATTTGGCAAGCTACCCAACTGAGAAAGTACAACAGTAAGGCCCCCAATTCTCTAGTAGAGCTTTACTTTTTTTTGCTTTCTGAACAGATTTTCTTCTAGTTCTGTAACGAACTAAAAATCCTCCATGTTGAGTCTTCAGCAGCAGTATCTGAATGTGTGAATCCTCCTACTCACTCCTCAGAGGCTCAGGACTGAATACAGGACCAATATTTTCAACATACAATAGCAAACCACTTGGCAGCTTATCCTGTTTGAGAAAAGCTACACTCTCAACCTGCCTGTGTGTGTCAGTGTGTGTGATATGGGGTATGAGTGGGGGCGCAGGTGCCAGACAGGCGGCCGTTTCACACTCGTCTTCAGTAATTGGCCACAGAACCCCATCTTCCTTCAATAGGACCCCCCTCAAACATTCACACATATATGCTATAACACACACAGACACACACACACATGCATACACACACACACACACATGCATACACACACACACACACAGTTGGAGGAATGAAGCAAGGCCAGCTCAGACCTGACGCCACAGCAACCATGACGCCAGCCAATTATAGCACGGCAAGGCAAGGATGCGTGATAAAGTCACCTAGCAACTGAGAGAAAGAGAGAAGGGTGGTGGGGGTGGGCGAGAATGTGTGTGTGTGAGAGAGAGAGAGAGAGAGAGAGAGAGAGAGAGAGAGAGAGAGAGAGAGCGTGAGAGAGAGAGAGCGAGAGAGAGAGAGATTAACAGGCATGGACAATCAACCAGGCACCAACCAATTATGGAGGAGTGTGATGCAGTTGCTTGGCAACCCAAAGTGAATGAGCAAGTGGGGGAGAGTGAGAGAGAGCAGGTTGGAGGTTGGTTTAGTAGAGGGGTGTGTGGAGGTTTATATGTGAGTGGAGGTCTTGGGTTAGCAGGGTTTTTCCTCAATCCTCATGAGGCTGTGGCACCTGCTGAGGGGGGGGGGCGGTCAGGTTTCTAGCTGGAGGTTTTGTTTTTATATTTTAACCTATGAACTATATATGAAATAATTGTACACTCTTTATTATAATTTGTACACATAAAGCGTGTCTAATTTCAATGTTTTTGTTTTGTTCTACATCCTAAACATGAAACTTTCTTCAGCTAAATAAACCTTTAACGTGACCAAGAAACCTGCATTAATTATTGTCAAAATGTCATTATCACTGTGAGGTAATTCAGCGCAATCATTTAAATATGCACCTAATCTAATTATTACAAAAATCAAAACCATTGTTCTCTCATGATCAAATATACAATATTATCGCAGTGTTAATTGATTTTCAAACCATATAGAAATAAATGGAATGGAATGGAAATGCCTGGTTTCATATAAAGACATACACAGTAAATTATCCATGATTTGTAGGTCAAGAACTGTTAATGAACCAAAAAGCGTGCACACGTTTACTGGAGGAATACAATAAAACTGAGTGCTATATAAATCAGTCATGTTTCTCAAAAAGGTTTTCATTTTTCTTTGCAAACCCTAAATGTCAAAGAATGCTTTAAAATGTCATCCAACAATGTGACCTATCAGAGGTTTAACAGCTGCTGGAAAGTGCTTCTGGTCTTAAAAAATGTCCAACAACTATACATCAACTAAAATCCTTTGCTGGTTTTAACTTGAACGCGGCCAATTTAATTGTTTGGAGAATGTTTCTTCAATTAAGTTCTAGCTGAGACGTCTGCTGTTTTTTTTTTATCAAGAAAAACTTTCTAGACCTGTTTTTTGTGTTCGATACAGTTTAACATAGAAAATATGTGGTTGTAACAAAGCTGCTTTATTTTCAAATATAGAAGAGATTGATCTTTCTGTCATTTTGTACTTCAACCTATTACAACAATTGCTTTTCATGAGGAATCTTATAGTAAAAACATTTGGATTGTATTGCACCATTAACGCTATACTGGGTATTTACGTCAAAATTGTAACACACTTGATGGATGGTGAATGTCAGTTTGGTTGTTTTGGGTTTTCCTCTGTTTTGTCTGAAATGCCACTCAACTATTACACTAGCAGACAGCCTGTTTATGGAGTTGTTGGAAGGTGTGTTTTTTTCACAAAAGGAGCTAGGGTAGCAGATTCCAACCTGTCTCCAGTCTTAGTATTTTCCTCTTCTAAGCATGTCTCTGTCTTATTCATCTGTTTTGTCTCTGATTATTTGCACATCATCATCTGACAGCAGCTCCACGCATTTGAGCTGTGATCTGCAATGTGTTGTCAAAATATTGTATCAGGTATCAGGAAAAATAACATTTGTTTAAGTACAAGACACTGCTGTTACACTCCTTTCAAACGGTTCATTGTTCTGCGATCTCAGTTGCTTTGTATTGTTCTAGTTGCTATAATATTGTTTTAGCCTGCTTATTGATTATCAGGAAGATTAAATTACTATCCATCTCGTGTTTGAAGAGAAAAACGTACTGCCTCGTTGTTGTATGAATCCTCCAGTCAAGTTGCTATTTAAATCCATGTTAGATTTTTAGTCTGCCGTTTATCTTTTGTGTGACGGTTGTCATAAGCAGCATATGGATCGTTATGGCTAAAATCATTTTGTGGGAATTGTCAGTGACCTTGATCTTTGATTAACTTGATCTAAACATTTCATCCTTGAGTCTAAGTGGATGTTTGTGCCACATTTGAAGTATTCCTTCAAGACTTTCCTGAGATATATAATTAACAAGAATGGGACAGTCGTGAAGTCACATTGACCTTTACCTGTGACCTTTTAACAGAAAAATTGAATAACTTAATTATTGAGTACAAGTGGGCATTTGTGCCACATTGTACCCTCCAGGCCTTTATAAGATATCACAGACTGATACAGACTTTCAAACAAATAGAAAAAAAGAAAGGTCTGGCTCCGGCTGAAAACAGACTTGGTTATTAGAGATTTACTGAATTAATATGTACATCTATTAATGTTATAAGTAACAATCCAATTTTCCTAAAAAGGAAAAATAACCGAGCGAGAAAATAAACTTCCAATCATAGCTACAGCTCAGAAAGATTGTTTTGGATATGAACAGAGAATTATTATTACCCTCATTATGTGCAATTGCTGCACATGTACAGTAAACTCCTGACAGTGCTCGGTGTAATGATGTTTCTAATGGCCTCTGGTGTGAACTATGTGGCAGTAAGTGCATTGATGCTGTGCAGGCTTTCTGCAGTTGCTCCTCCCTGTAGTCTATGCTACGTTAATCCCTCCCTACATGTATGTTCAATGATTTATGGTCATAATAACCCAAAAAGAGGATTAAGCTAATTAAACCACAGTGCTGCGCTTGTAGTGAACACATCGGGAGGGAATACACCGCCCCCACATTTATACCACGAGCACACACACAAAAGCACACGCAACACCCACACACACACACACACAAGCTGTAGTGTCTCCAGGGTGTCTTTTTTTTGTCAGTGAAGGATTCTGCCTTTAAATGCTCATCGTTCGTTAGCATGACTCGACTGTAAAATAACCAGAAGATTAAAGATATTGCAGCTAGCGGCGACGCTACCACAAATCCAGCTGCTCAATTCTGGATTAGCTATAATAAAGCTCCAGCTGTGGGTTCCCCCGGCCATGCTAGGTGCTGCCTGGAAATGTAATGCTATACTTGAAGCCATGCAACGGTCGCTGGGATCATAAAAGCCTGTAACACGCTGGATTAATGATGCCAAGGTTGCCCGTATTAATACAGTAGAGGGTCTGCAGGCTATGTACTGTAATCCTGACGAACAGCAAGGAAACTGTTAACACTAGATGATGACAACTGGAGGCCATGAACCACTCAAGATACAGTAAATGACCCTGCTGCTGAAGCTAACGTTGAATAATGCTAGCTTCAGGTGGTACAGGTCTACCTCCTGCTGTAGATAACTGATGGATTGAGCCTCAGTTACACAGGCTAAAGCATGTTCAATCCAGAGAGCATTTTGATTGGAAAACAGATCAAATAATGTATTGGAAAGTAACGAAAATATGTGATACACTAGCACCTGTCACTTGAAGCTCTTAATGACAATCCCAAATGGAAAACAAACTCCAATATGATAACCGCTAAAAACTTAATCCAGAGAGTTTCGATTCTATGGTGTCTTGATTGATTTCGCACATCATCAAAAATGTCATGTTCAGTTCTCCTAAAAACACAAACTTACTTTTAAAGTCAGCTGCAGACTGTGCACTGACATAGGAAGCAGCCTCTTCATTGATTTTAATCAGACCACTATTTTAACACAGCTGACACAGCAGGCTCTGGCGCTGCCTATAAATGAATGCAATATTTCTACCGTCATCAATAATGATAGTGATTATCTTTGTAACATCTCTCCAGAGATCCTTCTTAGTATTGTAAAACACTTTTTTGTGTTTTGACATCTGATTAGCTTCAAACGTATGGATCTGTTCATCAATGATATTGAGAAATAATACCACGCTTACTAACAAATCCGTCTGCATTATTTTAGTCGAAATGCAGGGCTTTCCTGAACTCAACTCCACTGTGGTGTGTCAACTGGGGAAATCAGCTGAAAAGGTTTTCAAAAATCTTCTTCTGCTTGGTATACCATGGCAATGTAATATGTTCAATGTGTTGTGAGCAATACGATCAGAAAAACACATAAGTCTGATCCTTGTCAAGTAAACCTCAGGCTGAGTTCAGGTTACTTGATGCTGTTTAAACTCAAGCAAATCACCACTTCATCAAAATTTGCAACAGTCAAATCACTCTTCACTCATGTTTCCACATTCACCCAGAGCCCTTCTCCACATGCCCACATTTTTGAGCGCTCACAGCAAACAGCCCCCGGACACATTAGCCTGGTGTGTGTTCTGTCTGAGGTTACCGACAGGGCAGCAGTAGTTAGAAGCTAAAGCTGCATGTCTGACCCAGTTGGACACAGCTGAATTGCCAATGTCATTTACTACCAGTCTATCAATCATCAGGCAATTACTGAGACAATGCCTTTTGGCCCTGAACTACCAAGACTCATGAGGAAATGATTAAATCCAGAGGATCATATCAGAAGCAAAATAAATGGAAGAGAGGTCATAATGTGCTTTTAAAAAGTCAAATATCAGAGGTTTTCTTGATGATTTCAACAAGCACAATGTACCTTTTTTGTGATGTACATGTGTTATGATACATCCTTGATCGAAGCTTGGGCACATCATCATTCAACAATGCTATAATGATGATTTTCTTTGTGTTGGTTCTGGTTCAGTACATTGGGTTTGAAATTGAACATGAGGTTAAAATGCTGAGGGTAAGCAAGTTTTAGGGTTTTAGGGTAAGTAGAATAAGGTCATTATCTTCAATATTTGTTTTCAAGTCTCACAGATATCATCAGACATTTGGTATTTTCCCAGCTGACCCTCTGTCAGGCCTGCACTACAGACAGCTTTGCTTCATGTTTCAGGGCTCTGCTGCCGGTAGTCTGGTCTTCAGCGGTGACACACAGAATCAGTTTGATTGAGGTCATGTGGCTCACTTGGACAACCAAGTATGTTATATGTTGCCCTGCTGCTTTGTCCTTAAATCTGGGGGACATGGGGCCAATTTCACACCAACCTTAACACAAATTACACATGTTTGAAACGTAATGTTTCAAAAATGATTAATGCTAGCAATTGGAAAAATACTTTTGAAAGCCATACCGGTTTCTTGAATTGGTTGCTGACTTACAAATTCGATCAAAAGGGTACTGCTGAATACAAAGGGCTAAAAATCCTGCAATCCTCCCTCGACATCAATGTGAATTTGTCAAATTTTAGCTTAATGTCAGCGCTGGAACCTCATAATCATCTTTTCATTTCAAATCCAACGTGATGGACTCCACAGCTGAAATGATGATTATAGAGTACACTGAAGGTAATTGTAATGGAGGTCTTACCTGTGTGAGTCCTCTGATGTGCCTTCAGATGGGAGCTCTTGGTGTAAACCTTCCTGCAGCCATTAAACTGGCACCGGTGGACTCTCTTCTTGTTCTCTGGTATGTCTCCTCCCAGACTTCCTCCTCCTCCCTGCTCTCCGTCGCTGAGGGCTCCTCCTCGGCTTGGCGGCGATGGTAACGCTCGTGCTGCCACCAGCTTAGCTGCTCCTAGCCCTACCTTCTTCGCCACAAATTTGAGCGTTAGTGTGCCGTCTGCCGTCGCAGTCAGTGTTTGTGTGGGTTTGACGAGGTGGCGACCGAGCTCTGGTGACGAAGGCGGTGTTAGGGAGGTCACCGCGGCGCTGAGCTGTGCGGCACTGACCCCTGCCAGGACTTGGTCCTTCGGTGAGAGGGTTTCAGTTCCTGCCTCGCCTAGGGTCTTGCTGGCCACGTGGAGGATTTTGGCCTGGACCTTGGGAAGGGTTAACAGGAGAGGGGGCGGGCTGGGCTGGTCTGGGAGGCTGGGGAGGAGCGGGTCCATCAGCTCCTCATCGCTGTCCCCACCCTGCATGAAGTTCGGCATTAAGAGACAGTCCAGCTCTTCGTCGAAGATCTCCGAGAGCCGCTTGGGCTCCGTCTGTAGATATCGCTCCAACTCTAGACATGTCTAAAACATAAGGAAGCACATAGAAACAAGAGTCAGACATAAATACACTTCACACCTGGTGGTTCAGTGTTTACGTTTTACAACTCTAGTCACACAATCTCTATTCACAGGAGGCTGTATTACGACTATTTAAATGTCCTTTGGTCACAAGTGAGGTAAATAGCTCAATATTATCTATCTGACGACTGGTTGACAACTGATATACAATCATTTGGTTAAACAGGACTTCAGTCTTCTAATACAATCATGTCAACTGTTAACTTCTAAAGCCTCACCGCAACTTCAACCCCATTTCGTTTTGGCCTCGTTTTCTGCTGTTTTCTATAGTTCTCTGATATCAGTACACCTTTATTCTGCATGTACAAACTAATATGTGGGATGATTTGTTATTACTGCTCGGATTCTCAGATTTTCATTTGCAAAGAAGGTCATGTTATTAAACTTCACACTGTAAGTTTAACACTGTACATCACTCTTCTATCATTCCTCTTTGTATGGCTTTGAATGACTTTCCATGGTTTCTGATTGTAGCTGTTTGCCTCTCAAACAAGTCATGGTCACCCATTAGACAAGAAAAAAGACAACGGTCATGATTAAAAAATGTCAAATGTTTGAGAGAACTGGCACAAAAAGAGCAATCCCCATGTTAAAGTCTCATGTCTATATGAGTGAAATAGGCAAATCTAAATTGGTATATGCTTAAACAAATCAACAATGAAGTGAGTTCTGATATCAGTGCATTCAGGTGTTTTCTCCAGACTGCAGCCTCTTCAGAGCTGTTTACTACTCTATTTAAATTCAAATAGCCGCTGCAGGCTTTATATTTCTCTGCAGCTGTTGACCATGTCACCTGGCACATGGCAGTCCTATGAGAGGAGGGATTTAGTCCGTGATTGATTGCTGCTGCCGGAACCAGCTCTCTGGAGCCCTGAACTGTGGAGGCCTTGCCTGTTTCCCACTGCTCACCCAAATCAACCAGCCATAGAAGTTATATCACAAGATAGCGCAAGGAAGGAGAGCACGACGACGCAGGAAAAGTCAAACAAGGTAACCAAGGGAAAGAAGAGGAAAAAAAAACAAGGGGAAATAAGCAGGTATTTCTATAATTGTTTATTCAACCTTTATCCAGAGAAAACAGAGACATCTGGGCAGCTACAATTCCAGATTTTGGCAGCAGAGCAGCATCTACACAGTGAGGGGCTTCAGTGTCTTGGTCAAGGGCACCGCCACACTACCTCAAAGGATTTGAGCCAGAAACCTTAAGTTCACTAACCTACTTTTCTGACCTAGAGGCTACACCTTTCCTCTCCAAACTTTTTATGTGTTCCGTAATTCCTGCCCTCCTCTTGAACTACCAACAGACCTTTGAGGTACACAGAACTGTTTGTTAGATCCAGCTCCAGCTTTGATCTCTCACATCTGCAACACTTGTCTTTTTCGGATACCAGTCCTCCCTCTCACACAGGGAAAGTAAGACATGTATCTGTTATAGCTGATCATAATAAAAAGAGACACAACAACAGCTGTTTGATATAAAATGTTAACTGCGAATCAGCCTTATTACATGCTACAATGTGAGCTACTATGTGATAGTTTAGAAGGTTTTACAAAGAAAACAGATGCAAACCAGATGGTGGGAAATCAGATATCAGAGCAGCAGTGTTAGTTATATTCACATAATTAATCATTAAACACATGCACAACTATATATCTATAAGCTGTATAGTTACATACATGGTTAACTCCAATTTACAACATTTTTCCTTGATTTAATTTTATCCTTCAATGAAGATGCTGGCCGATGTTCCCATAAAGAGGGTTGAATTAAATTGCATAAAACATTTCTAAACCATCATCTGCTTCCTATTCCCTGAAGAAATACCTGTTGGATTTTTTTATGTGTGGATACACTTGAGTGTTCCCATAATGAACACTAGTTTATGAACTGAAAAGACATCTTCTCCAAACCTCATTAACACAACCAACTGTCATACGTAAAGTCTGACCTTGAAATGCCATTGCTAAACAAATTAAACTGGATACAGAGTGCAGCTGCATGATTCTTCCTGTGACTTTTCCTGATCAAAGCTTAGATTCCAGTTGCCTGGCAAAAGCTGTCAACAAAAATATGCAGCTGGCTCAACAAGTGGCCAACAGGATAATTCACAGTACAGAGCGCCATTGAACACTTTGGGAAGATAATTGACGTGATGTTACAACCACATTTCCGACAGCAGTGCTACTTCGGTGATAGAAACAACTAAATGACCTCAAAATATGAATGTCACTGCTCTGCGGCTAAACAAGGTAGCACTCTGAAGAATAGTGAATCAGTCAAATTAAAAGTGTAGTTGTTCCAGCTCTGAGACACAGTGGTATACTCTTCAAGGTAACTGTCATTATACTACCGAATAATCTCAAAAATGAAAGAGCATCCAAAACTTAAATGATCATGATTTTCTTTGTTTTAAATTACATTTCAGTTTAAAATAAATACCAGTAAGAGAGTCAAGGGAAAACCTTAAAACAGAGTAAAAACACTGAAGAGTTCATAGCAATCCTGTCTGAGTTTTTGTGATGCTTTGTTTTTCTCAGGCGAGGGAAAAAGACAGCAGGCCCAGTCCACAGCTCTGTAAATGTCCACTCAGCTATTTTTTCAAGCTACCTGGCTCGAGCACTACCCTGCAGCATACTGCCTTCACTGTATCTGCTTGAAATTGAATTAATTTTCTTCTGTGTGGCCAAAGGCTTTTGGCAGCTGAGGGTTCTCATCCTGATCCTTTGGCTCCTTCCACATCAGAGCAAATTAGAGCCAGTATAGAAATGTTGTATTTTTCCTTAGCAGCAGCTGGATGACTTGGTTCATTCAGAGCAGCCAGCGCTGGAGCTTTGCTTCTGCTCAGCCTCAGTGACGAGACAGACAAACCAACACATTTGGTCTGAACATCTGTTGAGTGGTGATAAGATGAACTACCCTCTCCCTCCTTTACTCCCGTTCTTCTTCCCTTTAAAAGAATGTCTTTTTTCCTAAGGATGCTAGTTTGCATATGAATACAAATCTAAGATATCTCTTTGGGGGGGTTACACTGCTTCATAAGGAAACTTGAAAATGAGAAGCAAACATGTACAGAAGCAGAGATGACGCCAAGTAACAATGTCTTTACAGAGCGGATAGTGCTGTGAGGAAAAGCTTCGGGTGTGCTTTTTGTCCAGATTGCTGCTTTGATGTGTTAGCATTCATATTCCTTTGAGTAATTGTTGTGTGTAATACAATATCTAGTCAAGCGTGCTAAAGGAGGTTATTATATCTCTGTTTAAATTAGATCAGTCACTGCTAATGCATCTATAAACCAATAATGGAGATAATCAGACATCAGGAAATCTGCAGAATAACTTAAACAGCTTTATTTTACAAGAGCTGCAAGTCTTTGATCATTCATTGCAATATTTTAAAGTACATTTATCTGCAGAATCGACTAAAGAACAGTCCCAGGGCTATTGCAAACCCAACAGAACAAACACATGGTTTAATCAGCTACAAATCCTAAAGAAAATCAAATTAAAGTTCTCATTTAATGTTGTTGTATAATGTGGATACAGATGTAAATCTCCAGCTAATCGTTATTAAACCTAGCTTTTGTTCCCAATCAGTGGGAAAACACTAACTTACAAAAAAAACAATAGTTAGACCATGCATACTCATTATTGCCCTTAAAATAAACTACACTTAAGGCTCACTTGCTTTGTCTTATTCCATACAAACACAGACACCAGTTATATGATATAACTGGTTGATTGTTGAAATTTGTGAGATATAACTTATATCTCACAAATGCCAACTATTTTTCCTTTAAAAGTGGACCATATATATACATCTGGGTAGCTTGGCCATCTGGCTGACACAGCTACAAGATACTCTGAGGATGTAAAGGTCACCCCGAGGAGTACTTTGATATATAGTTGAAGCAGTTCTTGCCCTGAATTTAGGCTTTCGCGAGATTACATTTTTATCTTGAATGATTTGTTCTGTTGCTGCGCGCACAACACAAGAAACATATTTATGGAGATGAATGTGGAGTTATAAATCTTTATTTCTTCGATCTAAACTATTCCAGTCCTTGTACTTTCCCGGCTCAATGGAGTAATACATTGCCTCTGTACTGTATGTGTTATATAGATTATTCATCATCATGGATATCGGCTCTCTTTGATACAGTAAACTCAGCCTCTGTTGGTGTTTCTGACGGCACAATGAACCATTGTTTTCACTTGGACTAGAAATCTAAAATAGAAAGGTCTGTGTGTCTCCTGGCGGGGGCTGGACTGATGCTGAGGATTGTTGGAGGTGGGCGGGGGGGACAGAGGGTAGAGAGAGCCTGAGGCTGTGGAAGAGGAACGAGCGGCAATCAAACCCACGACTGGCAGTGAACGCATCGCCTCTGACATCGCATGTATGACCTTCTCCTGCGTCTGCTTCTCCTACACACCATGAATATCAGGTAACAATGACATGTATGGCCTGCAGCGTGTGTGTGTGTGTCAGTTGGCTAACAGCTCAGACTGATAGCATGTGTAGGGCTCACCTCCTGTCCCCCTGTTCAGTCCCACACCATATGTAGAAAGGTCACAGCGAAAAACACAAACACACACACATACAAATACACACACACAGAGGGCCAGTTACACTCAATCCCATAAACAACCAGTAATAATTTACTCTATTTCTTGACTTTCTTCTACAACTCCTCAACGCTTGATTATTCACAAACTCTACTTAAAACGTCATTAAAAACAAATAAATAATCTTGACCACCAACAGAAAACGAGAGGTATAAGTTAGTAAATACAACACTTTTATGAAAGAAGTCGACTAGAGGCTGAAGTTAGTGGTAAGAGCTCTATAAAACTAAGAAATTATGAATAAATAACTAATACTATATTCAATGTTTGGAAAAATGGGACGGGAAAACATCCTGGTATTCCAACTTTTAAATACAATT